ATCCACAACTGTGACAGACAGACAGACAGACAGACAGAGCTGTGTTTGGACAGTAAACAGACTCTCTGTACAGAAAACACACAAAACAGTGGAGTAGAAGTTAGAGAACATTTCTGTTTATATTTCCCTCGTCGCCTCCTCACCCTGGACATGCCTCCACGTGGGACTGTGTGTGTGTGTGTGTAGACATTTAGCAAAATAAGTATGATACACATCAATAGGGCTTAATCAGAAGGATCCACCGACTTCCGTTTGTTGATGTGTTGTGTGATGTGTGTGTTGTGATGTGATGTGTGTGTGTTTTGTAGGTCCTAACAGTCTTTAAGCAGAGGGCAGATTACCTGAATTCTACAGTAAAGAGACTTTTTTTGCAACTTCCAGGCTGGAATAGAGTTTCTATTTGTAAACTGGGATTGTGACATAGTTCGTTAATTTACAGTTTTAACCAATGAACACTGTGTATAGAGCACAACATTACGTTGTTCTTCATTTCCCTCAGTGGTGTTGCATTCACTGTAAGAATGAAAAATGTGATGTTGATCGCTATGGTGTGTCTGTCTTTGGAATAGGAGGTGCGGGTTTATCTATGGGACTACTTCATTCACCTCACGCCCTTTTGCGTTAATACGTTGTGTATTTCAAATACCGTGATTAGAGGAACCTTGAAGGACATGTCAGTAGTATATATATGAAATGCCGTCCCTCTGCTACTCATGCATTACCCCATCTCGATCTTATCTCCCTTGAGAAATGACGGGGCACGTTGTTAGCTGGGATTTAATCATGAGGTCTGCCACGCGTTACCTGACTTTCACTGTGAACAGAATAAAATCGTCCATCTCAATATAGCTATCTATGGAAGCCGTGAATGTCTATATCCTCTTGTGTTAGAGTGGGGTTGCTCATCTACATTCACAACACTCAGCTCCTTATCCTCTCGAAATCAAGATGCAGTTTAAGCTAATGTATCATAATTTGGATAGTGACCAAAACCGGAAGAGGACTCTCAAGAATTTATTTGGCTTACATTCTTTCGCCACTCTAGTTTACCAGATCCCCACTTTCATAATTAGGAAGCATTTGTTGAAGTCTGTGCTGTACCCGATCGTGGTGATTCTGAGAAATGCTCCTCTGTTGGTGCTCTGTCACACCTCTCAAGACTTGGCACATTCTCTCCCCAATACATCGTGATTATCCCGCATGGTGTGCATTCAGAACAGTTCTTTGGTGGTTTCAAGTAATTGAAGACATGCACGTAGCGGTCATCTTAGGACATGGATGAAAACATTATTATCATCCCCTTGTCAGTGATGCTTGTATACAAAATGCAGCCCATGTCCCAGTTGGACATTATAATAATACAGTCCCACAGAGAGGTTACTTTCTTGAGAGCATATTCACCTAATAGATTTATAGTCAGGTGTATAACTTTTTTCTTTTAATCCCATTATAAGGTGTTACATCTATGAATTATACTGTAATAATTCTGATTACCAGACATTATAGCTTGCGAGTGCGTTGCACTTTTTTAGATTTATTTTGGCCACAGCTGCTAAAAAATTGCAAAAAGTTCCAATCATGGGCACAAACATCCCGATTTCAGGAACTATTAGAGAAGCAGACTAATAAAGAATGAGCGCGGTGTGTAAGAGCTCCACTAAATTCTCTATCGCCTCCAGATAAAATAGGTCGTTTCCAAAACAGGCGTCAAAAAGTTGTCATCTCTAAAACCAACTCAACCCAACATTCCAGCTGATGATGTTCACAGCCATGCAGGCGGCAGATACAAAGCCTCACTACAGATGAGGGACTAATAGAGAGTACACACTAGAGCTTCCTGCTTCTGCTCATGACAACATTGAGCTATGTATTTCTAAACATTTTGTCGACAATTTAAAGCCTTCCTACGGTTTTTTAGTGCAGGAAGGATCAGATCTGATAATAAATAGAATACTTGTAGTTCATGTGATATTTGAATAAGATTATCTGATTGAAACATTATTAAATGATTTTATTCTCCTGATATTGTGAACTATGTGTACAATATCTTGTATAGAGATTACTTTCCAGCATAGAACAGGGATACAGCAAGAACCCATAACATAGATTTTTCAGTCTTAGTTTTATTCAAGTTATGCTCCCTTTGATTAAGTAGTATTTCCTACACTCTGTCAATCTCTTCAATGATATTAATATGCTACTTAAATTTATCTCATCTCTATACTATTCCTATAATAATGTACCGTACCTTAAGTTATATATTCCCTGGGTGAAATACGAGTGGTGTGACAAGACAGCTCAGGCATAACTCATTAGCTCCTAGTATTCAGCTTTCTCTACTAATTTGGTTTTCCACATGGTAACATAGGATGAACTTTTTCACTCATACAGACTTAGTTTCTACAAAGTGTCTGCATAATAGGTTTTTGGCTTCAGTCTTAATGATTTAACTTGAACATTTTCGTTGTTACCTATGCTGTATTATAAGCACTGTCACTTATGGAAACACTAAACGTAATTACCTAAATGAAATGTTCATTCAAGTAACCAGAACATCGTGTTCAACAGACGAGTTCGCAGCTTTTTATTATGGGAATCAGTAACTAAAGAATGCCATAAGTATAGTTATGCATCTACAAAAATTATGCTGCAGACCACGTAAATAATATTTCGGGCATTATTCAGTTATATATCGACTCAGCATAGCACTTAAATTATTTTTTATTATATTTGTCTATGACTGTGGTACATAAGATAGAATACCGCCAACAATGTTTTGTACTTGTTATATCTTAACAAGCTGTTATATAGATACTAATTAGCTGCAAAATACAGACGATAAATGCTCAAAAATGCGTTTCTCTACCTTGCCAAACTAAATCTTCTACATCTACGCTATCAATTTAACTCTCTGTCTACTGCTCTCTCTTCCTCCTTATTCACTGAGACTTTGCTGCCGACTTTAGGTAAACTGTTCTGAGCAGTGTTCCCAGTTGCCTCCTTATTCATTTCCATGCCTCCTTCCTCTCCAATATTCCACTGAACCCTCCTTGGCTTAATCATGTAGAGCCTTCTCTGTGGTTCGTGCCCAGCTATAAAGCTTATATATTAGTATCTCATACATTGTGTCTGCCTTGGCCTCGCAGACTAAACAGGATGTCACAAACAATAACTGATTTAAACTGTATCTGAAATGTCAGGACATCCATTATCTGCTCAAACTCACTCAAGGTTTTGCTCAAAGCATTCAAATAAACAAGGTAAAATGTATTGTAAGAAAAGGTTTGGGAGGGCAAGGTTAAGGTCAAAGCGAACACAATACATTATAGCTTTGCCTGGCAGAAAAGGTTTCTGTGGCAGAGTCTTGGAGAGGAAGGAGCATGGGAAATGAATAAGGGCACTGGGAACCACTGTCAACATTCTTCCCAAAGTCCGCAGCAAAGTCCTCAGTGAAGAAGGAGGAAAGGAGGTTAGACAAGAAAAAAGAGAATATTGGCAAGGACATTTTAGCATTTGTTTTTGAAGCAATAGTTTATATAGTAAGTACAAATTTTAAATAAACATAGCAAAAAGAAAATATTTAGGTGATTGAATTTATGTACTGTTGTTTTTAGTGGTCTGCAGTCAATACTATTCTGTTTTTATAACCCTAATGGATGTTGAACACGATGTTCTGGTACTTGACATGATTTATGTAATTAGTTTAAGTGTTCCAAGTACTGCAAATAACAGGACTACATATAGTGGGAACAAACAATATGTTCATACTTATAAATGTCTTTGTCCTGTTGAAACTAAATTAGGACATATCAGGCTAATACTGGCTGTATTGTCCGCCGTTGTTACAAGTATATAACTTAGTAGTAATTAATTATAGAATATAGTATTATAGTATACTAATAGAACTAACTTAAAAGGCGGGGCCAACTTGACACCAGCTGAAAATCTTGTTTTTTCTGACTCCAGTGGCTGAAAGTTCTCACCTTTCTCACATTTTCACAAAAAATAATTTTCATCAAGATAATTATCATAGTCACATAAAATAAACATATATTAACTTTAAATTTAATTTAGAAATAATTGCATTTTTGTGCAAACTGCCCTCTCTTCTCTCCCCCCCCCCTCCCAAAATTTAATTATAAGTATCAAGTGTTCCTTTATGGGTGAGAAAATTCTCCTATTAAGTAAGTGAAACAATTTAAAACCCTGTGGACTGTATTCATAAATACTGTACAGGGCTGCTTTTGTTACTCATGACAAGATGACATGTTTTCACTGGTCACCAGATGACCCCAGTGGAGTCAATTCGGTACCCGAATGACGCAGTCATTTTGGGAAAGTGCATTGAAGGTTAAGAAGCATTTCACCGTGGAAACATTCAATCTTTATTGAAAGTGGGTTATATATGTAGTCGAAATGTAACATAAATTTTGAATTTGGTGCCTATTTGGACCGAGAAAAGAGATGTTTGTAGTCTCACCCCTCCTACAAAGATATAGTACTTCCTGCTTTCCCCACTCCTCTCCTCCCCCCCTGTTCTCCCCGTCTCAGGGGAAAAATGAGGGAATGGTGCACGAACCATGTCAACAATATGACTGTGTGTGTGTGTGTTTTGTAGGTCCTACAGTCTTTAAGCAGAGGGACAGATACCTGAATTCCTCCACAGTAAAGGACTTTTTTTGCAACTTCAGGCTGGATTAGGGTTTCTATTTGTACTGGGATTGAACATAAAGTTCAGTTAATTTACAGTTTAACCAATGACACACTGGTGGAAAGACACATTACTCTCCATTCCCTCAGTGGTGTGCTCAACTTAAAAAATGTGTTGCAGTGTTTTTTTGGATAGGGGGTTAAAGGGACACTTCACCCATTTGCGTTAAGCTTTGTATCGTTAGAAACC